TGGAGAAGATGCAGCCTGATTTTATGGGAGCAGGATGCATTCACAGGCCTTCCATTCCAGCCCAGCTGAAGATAACAAGATCATTAAAAATGAAATGTATGTGGCCCCAAAACCCATCTACCATGTTGTGCATGCATAAAATATATCCAAAATTGTGGATATGTAAAATCTTTCCCTATGGATATTTCTTCAGAAAGATAGCATAATTATTTTTGCATTCCTTCCTCCGTAGAAAATACATAGGATTGCTGCCTGGGCTTATTCTAGCAGATTTAGAATGTATTTTCAGTAAAACAAAAAGAAACTGAGATGTCAAATCAAAGCGACTTCATTATACACATGACTTCTTTTTCTTACCATATTTTAATCTCCACCACCATTTGTGAAGTCAAATAATTTTAATCTGGGATAAAATTGGAAATGGCAGCAAAGGCCAATAGAGTTCTCTCCATACTCCCCCCACAGAAGCCAAGCAAAGTAGCAGATCTAGTTATCCTCATGGTAGAAAGGCCTTTCCTCCAATACGCTGCTCTGCCTGGTACTTTTTCACTCCAAGATTGAATAAATGCTGTTTTTCTTCAACAGAGGCACCAACATGGCCCTTAGGAGCAGAGCAATGTATGTGCAATAAAGGAAGGATGGAAGGAACCTCAATTGGCTAACTCTTACCGGCCCTAAAACATCAACTGATTAAAGTAAATGTACCTTAAACTTATATACCGCTTCACAGAGTTTTACAGCCTTCTCTAAGCGGTTTACAGAGTCAGCATATTTCTCCCAACAATCTGGGTCCTCATTTTACCAACTTTGGAAGGATGGAAGGTTGAGTCAACTTGAACCGCTTGGACTTGAATTGTCAAAATGCAATCAGCTAGCAGTCAGAAGAAGTAGCCTGCAGTACTGTGCCACCCCGGATCTTGATCTAGAAGTGACTCTAATACTGATTGAATTTCTTGTATGTGCTTTTTCTTTTAAAAACTATTTTAACGGTACTGTGTTTCATGTGGTTATTGTTTTATACTTTTTTTTACTGTATGCTGCCCAGATTCATTTTTTGTGAGATGGGTGGCCATAAAAGTGAAAGGTAAAGTAGTCCCTACAAATTTTACTCTGCTAGTTGTTGCTGACTATGGGGGACTATGTTCATGTCTGTTTCAAGACAATTGAGCCAGTGATGTCCTAAGACATTTCTGTGGTCATGTGGCCAGCATGTCATCATGGAGTGCTGTTACCTGTTACTGAAGTGGTACCTATTTATCTACTTGCATTTGCATGCTTTTGAACTGCTAGGTTGGAAGAAGCTGGGGCAAAGATGGGTGCTCACCCTATTGCGTGGCTCTCGGGTCTTGAACCTGTGCTGCTGGCTTTCCAGCTGACAAGCCCAGCATCCTAACTGCTGAGCCACCACGCTGTCTGAGCGTAGCCATATAGATGTGATAAATAAAAATAAATAATTTCAGAACTTTGCATACTGTAGTTCTAAAAAATAATGCTCTAATTCCAATACTAAAATATGATTGTGAAATTACAAAATTTGGTATAAACTCATGCAAGCAGAATTTTCATACCAACTGCTGTTAGCTGGAATCTGATTTTCCTTTTTCTCTCCATATTAATATGGAAAGGAACTATGAGCAGAATTTAGAGCAGGTAGCTTTTTGCCAAGAGTGAAAGCAGAAAGTTTCCAATCTGAAGGAATTCTGGCCTATCCTTCTAATTGGCAGGTACAACAGATCCCCAAGTTAAGAACATTCTGGTTTAAACAATACCCATAATTAAGAACAGATCCTATTGTAGCAAGATTCAAGTTAAATGCACAGTGATTCAAGTTAAATGAATAGTGGTTCAAGTTCATTATACTATAGTACTTATGTAGTATTATACAATAACACTGGTGTAGTTTACAAACGAATTTGACTTTAAGGACAGACCTTGGGAATGAAACTTGTTCTTAAATGGGTACTACCTGTGTTCACTGAGTCATCTAAAAAAATCTGTATCCTATCTTTTTAATAAAAGAAAGAAGGGGAGGATTTGGTTTGTATAAGAAACTTCAAGGATGAATTAATAGATATTCTCTGCATACTTCGTTTCCTTCTAATTAATAAAATATCAGCTTGAACATTCCTTAGTAAATCAGCCAAAAATTATGACAGTGGTTTGTTTATTAAATTAGGTTGCTGGCAAGGATGGTAAAAAATCTATAGTATGAATTATTGCATAAAATGTCTCATGGTCTACATAAAAGTTAAGGCTAAATAAATACAGATGTAAGTTATGTTTATATAATAAGAAACACTGCTGAGCTAAGAATTTTAGGTTAGAAAGTGCAAACTTGTGGATCTGATACATTATGCATTTACCACATGACCAAATTTATTATGTAAGTAGTTGCTATAACATAAAGAGCGCTGTTTTACATATATGCAAAGTAAAATGATAAGATATAATAGTAGGGCAGCCTGATAATGAGGCAAGAGGTTGTGTTTTTAATGCCAATGGTTCCTACAATGATGGCAGTTCATATTTTTATGCTGCATGGTTTTTCAACATATTAGTTTCCTAGAATAAATTTCAGATATGCTAAGTGGTAAATATTGTTAGCATTGACATAAGCTATTTATACATGCATATTAATACTAATTGGAGTTGTGGGAGATTAATATCCTACTTGTTGCAGTCTCAACATGCCCTGGCTGAACTTGTCCATGTGGCTTTTCTAAAACACAATCTCTTTACCCAAATGATGTAGGCAGAAGGGGGAATGGTCTTAAGGGGCAAGAGGAAGAACTGCCTCTAAGATAACAGTAAAATAAAAGAAGATTGTGTCAGGGATAGGAATGTAATCTGATTAAGTCACTCAATCAAGCCCCTCCCTAGTTCTCGTGAATATAAAAGAGGGAGGGGGGTACATTAAGACTTGCAAGTCTTTCTTACTTTAGTTTTACAGTAAAAGCAATATGGACCTAATGCACAAGGTAAAATTCATACCCAGCAATTCCTTGAGGATGGGTGAGGGAGGCCATCGGTAATGGTAAAAACATCCCTTTTTAAACTCTACTAGCTCCAGCATAAGTCTATTTCTTTTTTTTCACATCTGTTTAATTTTTAATTTATCTATTCATATTTTTTTCATAAGTGAGAGAAACAAGCATTATGCCTACTCCATGACTGGTATGGCTTTTTCTTCTCACTGGGAAGGTGGAAGAGACGCTGAGGGAACAAGATTCCTTTGTATTATCTAAATCATGGGTGGGCAACCAGTACCTCAGTCTAATTTCATGCAGTCTTTGGCCTAATTTCAAAAGCCCTCTGTAAGCAATCACTTCATACCTCTGGCAAGAGAAATCTGTCCTGGCCAGTTACAGAGAAACAAAGTGTTAAAGAAAGTGACCTGGGAGGTGAGAGTGAGCAAATAAGTGCCCCATCCACATTTGGCTCTGGATCTACTTACTGTTTGCTTCCATTCTACCCACCGGTGACAATGCACTCTATATTTACTTCTCCTCCCCCTTCCCCTAAACCACAAGGAACCACTCATCTCTACTCTCAATTTATGATTTATTTGGCCCATGAAGGAAGAGGAGAAGGAAGTAGTAGTCATTACACAAAGCTTTTCACCACTACACTAGTGAAATTCTGCTTTGATAAACAGCATTTCCACAAAAGCCCCCAGTCTACGGATGGATTTCAGAACTGCATCTTTCACTGACAGTTTTGAAAGTACAGTGTGTAAGCTTCATGCCACAGATAATCTTCTAGTAAGATACATTCAGCATCCTCTTTGCTTCTTTTAAAGGTTATATTCAGATCCCTCTTCTTTTCATTTTCCAGGGAGAACTTGAGAAAGATGTTGGCCAGTAATGTACTGTTGTTTCATACTTTCAGTTGTTAGTCACTATGTTAACACTGTGTTTGTTTTATATGTTTACCGATTTAGAGTTTCTTTTTAAAAGAAAAAAACAAACAGTTTAATGAAATAAATAAATAAACATTTCCCCATGCTAAAGTGGCAAAAATGATTTATCCATGAATACTTTGTAAGACTGCCTTTCTAAGACTTAAAAAATGTTCAGAAGAACAATTGCAAGAAAATATTCAAAGACTCAGATTAATTTCATTCAAGTAAGCATGGTGTCATTGCAAGATAGCTCACTAAACTCAGTTGCTGACTCAGCCACCAACAAGTTATTCTTGAAATTGGATTATAGAGTAGGTGTGAGGCTAGTATTATTTCATAATCATCCTGTAAGCCATAGATAAGGAACATGTGGCCATCTAAACAATGAACTCCAACACCCAGCTTTCCCCCTACTTGCAGGTTATGTTGACTGGGACTCCTGTTTTTACAGCTTCTAGATTCCTACTTTCCTACTGTAGATATGCACTATAAGATCCAGAATACTTGTTAACATTACTACTTCTTGGAATTAAAAAAAGAGGTAATGTAGCGTGACTATTTTACAGTCACTGATCCAATGTATATACACATTTGCAGAGACTCTCTCGTTTTCTTCTACTTCATAGAACTGGAAATGTTTAGGAACATTTATGTACATAACAAAAAGCAATATTTATGAATTTAAAACATATTGTCCATAAAAGAATTCTCTATAGCACTGTTTCTCAACCTTGGCAACTTGAAGGTGTGTGGACTTCAACTCCCAAAATTCCCCAGCCAACATGTCTGGGAGATGAAGACCACATGTTTTCAAGTTGCCAAGGTTGAGAAACAGTCCTTTTAGAGAAACTGGTCTTGACTACTTCAGATTTACAAAAAATAATCAATTGTGTGATTGTTCGAACTCTACCTTATGAGCCTTACTTCGATGCATAAGTGGGAATTGTAGAATCTTTCAAATAGGTTGAAATTTTGGTGCTGGTTTTTAGCAATATTTTCAAATTTTTGCAGCAGTGTTGAGCATGAGAAGAATTAGGGGGAAAGAAAGCCCAAGGACCCATAGTGAAAGAAGAAATGGCAACCAACAAAAAATGCCTACCATGTTCCAGATAAGAAGGCGTACCTTCCGAAGGATCAAGCCTTCGAGCCCTCCGCCCATGTTTGGAGTTATTGTGCACAAACATATTATCCGATACTGCCAAGACGTGGCCATCCACATTGACTGTTGTAGATACCACAACCTGCAAGTGGAACAGCAATATAAGGAAACACTTTAATACAATTTAAAATCAAATAAAGCACAGAGACTAATAAACCCAGAATCTTAAATAACAGCTGGGAGCGGCAGAAAATTGCACAGCTATTTCGCATAATAACTAGTGCCTAGACTCTATGACTCTAACAAGAGGTGCTATTGATGAGTGGGTCTTTGGCATCACAGGCTTTTGATGTCATTTAGTCAAATTACACAGTTTGTAGCTGTATAAAGGAATATATACTGTTAACCATAATTTTAACAAGAGCAGCTTTATTAACTCCTTTTTAAAAGAGTTGGCTGCATATTACTCCACATCATCCTTCAGCATGCATGTCAGAATAGATAAACTGTTGTCACTGCAAATGAGAATTGATTCAAGTGCAAAAACAAAATTGGTTGCTAAAGTTGGATTAGAGTAACTGAATTCATCATACTGCTAAAGCCTGGAGTGTATGCATTTGTCCAAATTTCTCCTGAACAGGGGAGAGAGAAAGAAAGATTGTATCCATAAAGAATATTTTAGAACGTAAATGAATACCGCTTTTCAAATCTAAGCAGACTCTGCCTTTATCAAGCGATCAAGTGTAAATTTAGTGTTTTTGCAAACTTTATTATCCTAATGGGAACAACTAGAATAGAAATATTATTTTATTGTACAATAGAAGATATGTGGAAATTTAGACAGTAAGATGGGCAGCATATACATTTAGTAATAAATAAATAAATAAATAAATAAATAAATAAAAAACAAACAAAAATCACAAACTCAACCCACTGATACATTTATTAATAAAGCATAATTTTATTGATAAAATATATTTTTGAGCAAGTTAAAGGATAAAGGATTTCCATTAAGTTACTTTGATAAAAATGTGCATTGTTTTCTGTGCTCACTATGGATCAAAAATAGGATCCAACCGTGATTATTTATTATAGTTGAATCTTATATATATTAAAAGGACCTTTTAGAGACTGTATAAAAAGTGTCAACTTTAAAAGTGTAGAATAGAGAACTGAGACCTTTAGATGACAGCATTGATAATACTGGCATTATTACTATTACCCTTGTTATTACCATCTCAATCATCACTTTTCTTTATTATATTGAGTCTCATTTATATTAAGAGAATCTTACAAAACAATTTTTTTCTTTAAGGAGTTAAAATAATAAGTACTAAGGGCATGCCTTAAGACAGGAGTCCCAACCTTCAGTCCGTGATCCAGTCCTGGACCGTTTTTATCTCAGCACTAGTCATTGTGATTGTATGGCACAAAATATATGGATGTGATGTATTGATTACCAGCAGACTTCCATATACAATTCAAAGTGCTAGTTTCAATTTAAAATTCCAAATATGGTTTAGCATTTCCAGAACTTCTGATTTTACCAAATTTGACCCATCTGAGGCTCTTCTGGGAGAATTTCCATGTGATATCCTAATTCTTTGAGGTGGGAAGGACTGAACCCAGAAGGGCAGATCTCCCATTTTGTTTGTTTCTTTCAGACTAGTATTGTTGTGAGTCTCCAGTGGTCTGCCAGAATTTATTTAAAATTTAAAATAATAACAGTTATAATAATACTGATTTTGATTACTGTAAAGAAATATAGCCTTAGCATTAAGTCAATCTGTTACCATGATCAAACACAACAGCCATTTATTCCAATAAAGGATAGTTGTAGCTCAGGGTTGACATGAGAGGTCATTGGTGCTCTCTGAGCTTGCTTCTTTTCTTGCAGACTTTCCGTTTCCCTAACCAGATAACATCCTCATAGATGTCTGTTGTAGATGATGTAGGTCAGGGCTATCAAACTTGTGGCCCACGGGCTGGATGTGTCATGTGCTGATCATGCCCACCCCTGATTTAGTGAAGGGGGGAAAGGTCCTGATATGTCACATGATAATGTCATGATGACGTGAGGTTGACACCCCTGATGTAGGTGATAAAAGAACCACCCTTATTGCGAATAAATGCCTGTCCACACTAATATTAATGTACTGTTGTGTTTGATCATGGAGAGGGATGGGGGAAAGGGAGAGAAACAGATTAATAACAAATACTGTATCTGATTAGTTATACATTCAACAGGACATATTCCAACCGGGATGATGAATCAACAAAACAAATCACCAATGAAAATTGTGGCGGGACATTTTCACAAAACCTGTTTTCTCTCAAGTTTTAGGGAAATTCTGCATCTGTGTGGCTGTGTTGTTGTTCTTTTTTGTGACTGCCTAACTACGCGTTCAACCTAAAGGCTATGTTTCCATTCCACTACCACTCATTAAGCATCCCGAGCTAATTACAGTTTCCCTCCCATGAACCTGCCTTCCAGAACTTTTGCTAAAACAATAAGAAGAAATGACCTACACTTCTCCTTAAATTAAACAAGGAAGGGGGATTAAAAATGGAAACCCACTGAGATATGTTTATTCATGCGACCTCTTACAACCAAATATAATAATTGTCTGTTAATTGCAGTTTCAGCTCCCACCTCATGCTTCAACATGTGAAACTGCAATCAGCTGGCTCCTGTTTAATCCACCTATTATGTTGACTAATTAACTTTGCTCGACAGTTTATTTCTTCCTCCATTATCAGCCCCTGTCAGCCTCAAGCACAGCGCTGCTAAGGGAGACCTCAGCCTCTTTGATTGATCACCGATAGATTGACATGCAGATTAATTTAATTAGAATCACCTCACTTGAGAAATGAAAGACAATGGCAAAGGGGCTAATAGATCTGCTCTTATAATGAGGCTACCCTCCAGAGCCAAGGAAGAGAGTTTCTGATTTATTTTGCTGAATTCCCCAGTCGCTCCACAAGGCTCTTGCTTTAATTGTTCTTGGTATTGAGAAGCTTTAGCCTCTGAAGAGGTGAAATGCTTTACAAGGATTGGCAAACATTTCTTCAATTCTCCAAGGAAGCTGTTACCCTCTCAAAGTTGCATGAACAGAAAGGGTTGCTGGCAAGAATTTCCTTATGGGGCTTGAAATGGGTGAAAGGGAAGAAAATGAAGCAAAGTTTTCAAAGTAATATTTCATAAACCATAGTAAATTTCTCAAAAACATGTTTTGTCATTTCTTGACCTAAAACACTGTTTCATCCAACAGTTCCAATTTTCTGTTTATTTAATCTGTCCCTCCCTCCCCTCCTCTCCTCAATTTATTAATGTTTACAAGCCTGTGAATGATTTGTGTCTGGATATAGTTTGTCACAGAATGCCATTAGCTCATTTCATTAGATATTTAAACAGTTTTAGAAGTTAGAGTACTGAGCAAGATAGAACCAGCATGCTAGTTAGAGAATACTGAAAAAGAACACATCAGCCAAAGTTTGGAATTAAATTAAATTATTTTTTAAAAAAATAATCAAGATTCATAGAGACAGTTCTCTATATGGCAAATATGTACCTGGATAGAAAACTGCCTGTGCCTTAATAGAGAGCACTATTTAGCAAAGCACTATTTAGTGAAAATCCTTAAATACAAGATTGTAATGATAGCAATAACACTAGCAATAGAATAGGAATAGCATTTAGAGTTATATACTGAATGCTAATGCTTTACAGCACTCTATGAGTTGTTTACAAATGTCACTATATTGCCCCCAACAATCTGACTCCTCATTTTAATGACCTTAGAAGGATGGAACACCAAGTCAACCTCAAGCCAATCAGCACTGAACTCCTGGCTATGAACAGAGTTAACCTGCAATGCTGCATTCTAACCACTGTACCACCAGGGCTCCTAGGATCAGTCACTTTAATTTGCCCAATATATATATGGAATATTGAACTGTTTCAACTAAAAAAGTTAACTAATAGCTCTTACTAGAAATATTAGTTATCTTGGGTTACATTCTACAATCTTGGCCATTTAAGTCAACTGAGAAATGCAAACACCCCCAATATATTTATAGTATTACTGAATTTTATAAATAGATAAAGCAAAAACCCTACACAAGATACTAAGATACTCAGATACTGTAACACCATGTTTTCATGGGCATCTGCACTGGTGGGAAGGGACCTGAGATAGTATCCGCATCATGATGTCATTGTGCAAATGAAGCAAATGAAATACTGTATGTCGTTTGTGACATGCCATCATTACATAATTACATCAAGTTGCATGTAATACCATTGACATCTCTACAGGACACCTAAGGCCCTTACATGTCAAGGCACTGGAGTATTATGTATTTTTCTACAATGATTAATCCATTTGCTTAAGCAATAGGAGACACAAGAAACTGTTGTTTTTACACGGGGAAGAGTTCCAGGGTGGGGGTGGAAGAGACAAATCTAGAAATTGGTAATTTATGAATACTTTTCAAATATGCTGGTATCCAGGACAGAGGATTTTGCTCCTATTCAGTAAGAAATACATGACATTTTTACGTTAAGAAAAATGGTCAGGAACCAACACAAAGTTTCCCTCTATAGATATCCTCCAAATTTATTAGGAACGCCTCATTCTGTTCTGTTCTATTTTAAGGTTGATTTTGATACTGATTTTTTTTGGCTGCCTGAAAATGCTGTTAATACATAGATTTAAAAACCAACCATATAGAAGAATAGGAATAAAGGAAGAGAAAAAAAAATAACAGACTAAAGTATTTGAAGAGCATAAATCCTAACAAATCCTAGTGTTTAATACTATTCCATTTAAAAGAACTAAATCAGAGTTTCAAATAATGCTGTATAGGGAGCTCTGAGCCTATAAAAGAGAATGCAATATTTTTCTCCGCAGGAGAACATTGATTAACTTTTTTTTTTAACTGGAGTAATCTCACTGAAATCCGTTATTTAATTCTTGCTACCCACAACATCTGCAACACCGGGGGCTCAGTCCAACTCATTCATTGCATAACATAACCTTGCTACCTGGCTTCCTTGACTAGAACATGATTTACTACAGTGATGCCATACCAGGGTGGTTCTTTTATAGCCATTAGGAGAAAAAATAACTATAAAAAGGA